GCTTATTCAGGGTAGGAAACAACTCTTTTTTCAATCTTTTATATTAAGTTTTTGTTATGAGGGTGTCAATTAGGTGTGGGTCGTATTCGTTGTTATATGCTAGTTGTTTGAGAATTTTAACTTCGTTAGAATGGTCTTCTTTTGAGAGGGGTATGTTAAGTAATCTGTTGATGTAGCAATGGAAAGCTGCCAGTTTATGTTGTCGGGGGTGGTTAGAACTTTCAGGGATGGTGTGATCAGTTTGTGTCGGTTTTCTAAAAATTTAAAAATTGAGTTGATTGAAAAGTTTTTTGTGAATTGTGATGTCTAAGAAGTTGATTGAGTTATTGTGTTCAATCTCGAGAGTGAAAGAGATCTTAGGGTGTATTGCATTCAATTTTTGAAGGAGAAGATCAGCATGATTGTGGTTGCCATCCAGAAAACAAAGACAGTCATCAACATATCTAAACCAGTGTAGAATCTCTTTATTGGAGTTAGTGATTATATGTTGGTTTTCCAAGAAATCCATGAAAAGGTCGGCCAAGAAAGGTGACAAGCAACTTCCCATGGCGAGCCCATCAGGTTGTTGATACACGGTGTTATTAAAAGAGAAATAATTTTGCAAAAGGCAATGATTCAGAAGTGAAAGTATATTGATAACAGTAGCTTCTGTTACATTTTTTAATCTTAAGAGGTTACCCACGATATCGACAGCTTCGTTCCTTGGGACGGTTGTGAAGAGATTGGTAACATCGAAGGAAACTACTAAAAAATTTTCGGGTAGATTTAAGTTGGACAATTTATTAATTAAATCGATTCAATTACTTACCCCAAACTTAGGTGAAAATGAAGATAGATTTTTAATCAAGTTAAGAATGAATGAAGAGAGAATAGCTACTGGTGTGTTGGAAAAGCTTACCACTGGCCTTATTGGAGTATCAACCTTGTGGATTTTTGGAAGTCCATACATTCTTGGTAAATTTGGATTACTTGACATGAGTGTCTTAGGAGCATTGTGTTCTAGAAAAAATTCACTGAAATGTTTTATAAGTTTGTTAGTTTTTTTAATAAAAGTATTATGTGGATTCGACTGTAAAATCTTGAAATTATTATTCTGAAGGAAAGTTACTGCTTTGGAAATGTAATCTTGTTTGTTGAGAACCACAAGGCAATTTCCCTTGTCTGCCTTTGTTACAATCAGGTCCTTATTTTTGATTTTAGTTTTGAGTTTTTTGAGCGTTTTTAAAGAATGTGAGGATATGGAGGAGTTGGTTTTCTCCAGATCTTTTTTAAGAGTGTATAAAATATTGTGCATGTCATTACGTAATGATTTTTTGATGTTGTAATTATAAGTTATTTGTTCAATAATGACATCTAGTTCTATGGCGTACTTAAGAACGTCACTCTCAGAAAGGGGTGTATGTAAACAGTATTTTAAGCTCAAGTTGAGGAGGGCCAGCTCGTCATCCTCAAAAACAGTGTCTGAGATGTTCTTGACTCTCTCGTGAAACTCAAAATTTGAAAATTTCGGTGGTTGGTTAGCTCTATTTTTCTTTAAAGCATTTTTTTGTTTAATAATGGATTGTCACTTTGACTTCAACTTATCGAACTTGAGGCCCTTAGACAGGTTAACCTCATCAGAGATGTCATTCAGGAGAGTGTTAAGTGATTCATTATCGAAAGAGTTTACCAAATTGTTGTGAAATTTTTTCAGTTGACAATTGAGAAGATCAAGCTTTGCATAGTGTTTACATATTTCAGACCTAATAATTTTAAGTTCCAAATCATATTTAAATTTAAAGGGAACGTTATTGGAAAGTTTAACCTTGGCAAAGACAGGTGTTACTTTCTCCTTAATGCAGTTGTTCAGGAACCAAATGTCTAGATGTAACGCTGCTCGTCTGAGGGAAACTCTTCTGTACTGTTCAGCCAGGTCTGCCATACTGCAGTTGAATAATAGAGGGTGTAGAGCTGTGTGCACGTTGAGGAGTAATGAAGAATGAAAAAGTTTTGTATTTCGTGCAAAATTCTTTAATAAATATCAGTGCAAAGCGCTTTCGGCCGTGGCCATCATCAGTGCAACCTGAAAGTAAGGAAAAACACTTTCTGAAGATACTGGAAAATTTAATGAAAGTTTGGAAATTTTGGAAAATTTGAAAATTTTAAAAATTTTTGAAAATTATCTGAAATCTTAGAAAATTTAATCTATATCAATTTAAATTATTCAAAAGGAAGAAATTAATTACTAAAGAAAGTAAATTTACTCACTTCGTCAGGTTTGTACAAAGAGTCTTCTCGTTGAACATATAGGTGTAAAGGAACGAAACATCACATTACAAATTAAAATAACACATTAAAATATCGGAAGATCTTTGGTTTTTTCGCTGGTGCACTATGCAAAGGCTGTGTCCTCTCAAATTACAATCACATCGAAAGATGTTTTTTAAATTTAAGTTAATATTTCTTTAAATTTGTGGAAGACCAACAAGTGATGAATGATGTGCAGCCATTTTGTGTATGGTTGCACGTTTTTGATTGTGGTTTCCCTTTAGAGTGACACATGACAAGTAAGTCAGTGTAGCTGACAAGAGCGGGAAGTTCGAAAAGTAAAAGTTTATAAGATCCAAAACCATTACCAACGTTTTTAAAAACAATATTTGGAGATTTAAGATGTTTATAGTGTAAAAAACTTGTAGTGTAGATGACGAGCTAGTCCTCCACAATGTGTAGACTACCCTTATATCATCATAGAGTGCAAAAAGGATATATGAGATACAATTGAAATAAATGAAAATTTTGAGTAAATAATTGAATAAATTGACTTAGTTAAGATCAATTATAGATCAATTATAGATCTTACATCCCCTTACACAGACGTCTTTTAAATTAAATCAAAAAAACCAATAGATGATCTTAACTAAGTCAATTTATTCAATTATTTACTCAAAATTTTCATTTATTTCAATTGTATCTCATATATCCTTTTTGCACTCTATGATGATATAAGGGTAGTCTACACATTGTGGAGGACTAGCTCGTCATCTACACTACAAGTTTTTTACACTATAAACATCTTAAATCTCCAAATATTGTTTTTAAAAACGTTGGTAATGGTTTTGGATCTTATAAACTTTTACTTTTCGAACTTCCCGCTCTTGTCAGCTACACTGACTTACTTGTCATGTGTCACTCTAAAGGGAAACCACAATCAAAAACGTGCAACCATACACAAAATGGCTGCACATCATTCATCACTTGTTGGTCTTCCACAAATTTAAAGAAATATTAACTTAAATTTAAAAAACATCTTTCGATGTGATTGTAATTTGAGAGGACACAGCCTTTGCATAGTGCACCAGCGAAAAAACCAAAGATCTTCCGATATTTTAATGTGTTATTTTAATTTGTAATGTGATGTTTCGTTCCTTTACACCTATATGTTCAACGAGAATTAAGACTCTTTGTACAAACCTGACGAAGTGAGTAAATTTACTTTCTTTAGTAATTAATTTCTTCCTTTTGAATAATTTAAATTGATATAGATTAAATTTTCTAAGATTTCAGATAATTTTCAAAAATTTTTAAAATTTTCAAATTTTCCAAAATTTCCAAACTTTCATTAAATTTTCCAGTATCTTCAGAAAGTGTTTTTCCTTACTTTCAGGTTGCACTGATGATGGCCACGGCCGAAAGCGCTTTGCACTGATATTTATTAAATAATTTTGCACGAAATACAAAACTTTTTCATTCTTCATTACTCCTCAACGTGCACACAGCTCTACACCCTCTATCTATTTTTAATGGCTTACAGAGCAGCTGTTCGCCAGGTGAAATTGCAGCTAGAATCGTTTTTGGAAGAGAACTCAGGTCACCTTGCGATCTGATGTTTGAAATACCTGAAGATGAACGAAAAAAAAAATTGGAGATTATGCCGACGAAGTAAGGGCACGACTTCTGAGGATACAAAATTTAACTCGGGAGCATATTCAGCTGACCAGTGACCGAATGAAGACCAGATACGACTTTAAAGCCAATTAAGCCGGATTTCAAGAAGGTGATCTAGTGTGGCTGTATGATCCAACAAGAACAAGAAAGAAAGGAGCGTCGCCGAAATTGTCTCCAGCATGGGAACGACCCTACAGAATAATCAAGAGGATCAATGATTTGGTTTATCGAGTTTAGCGCAACACCAGGAGTAAGATGAAAGTTGTACATTTGGAAAGATTAACGAAATATCATGGGCGCAGAGGAGGGCAGTGTAGCGAAAATCTGGCGGAAGCGCCAGGGTGTATAGAATTGGACCGCTGATTCGAGATTTTACGTTGATGTTCGGGAACAAGGTCGATCGCGGTTATTCCGGATTTTGCAAGAATAGATCAGGGATATATAAAGGCTGCTATTAGTTTTTAAGTTTAAGTTTGGCTGTTATATACGATTAAGATAGTGAATATTGTTAAGAGTTGTGAAGAGTCAAGTTGTTTGAGTTAATTAATGAAGTAATTAGTGTCAGAGTGTATAGTAATATAATAAATTATTGCTGTGTTAATTGGACTTTGATTTTGGAATAAACGGACCCAAGATTCCTGGTCACGCAAGCTAGAGCCGTGACCGAATTACTTTTTGTTGGACGATCCTGTATACGTAAAAATTGATTCGGAAAAGTGTTGGACTAATAATTAAAATCGACGTGTGCGAGCATTTACCTGAAACATTTTAATCTAATTGCCCAATGAACAACCCATGTGAGCTGACTGTTCCTATGTTTCTAAAATGTCCGTCAGTTTTATTCCGCAGTTTTCCGGTACGTCGAAAAAACGTATCAACTATCAAGTGTGAAATAAGTCAAAGATCTAAACCCACACATGTGTTTCTCACAAAGTGCTTTTTATCAGAGCAAAAAAAAAACGTTTATCCACATTTTTTATTGTTTCATTAGAGTTTGATTCCTTAGACAATTTTTCTGTGATTTTAATTCTAACCTTAACAAAGCAATGGACTTACATTTTGATTTATTCATGCAGAACTTAAAATTTGAAACCGTTCCTCCAGACTTTGAAGAAAACCTAGACCCTAAAGAACACACTTTTTCCGATTTTGTCGAGAAAACTGCCATAGGAAAACTCATGGATGTTTATTGTAAATTACAAAATGACCAAAGGAAACCGGATATCATTATCGGATCTGACACCATGGTCACTTATAATGGCAAAATGTATGGAAAACCTACAACCAAAGAAGAAGCGTTTCAATGCATTAAAGAGTAAGAAATATTGTTTACTAAAAATGCACACTAAAGAATTTTTAAATTTAGTTTGACCCAAGGTGGTTTGCCCAATAGTGTTTACACAGCAGTAGTAATATGGTACAAAAATAAAATTTACAAATTCACAGAGGTCACCACGGTTTACATGGTTCCGTTAACAGATGAAGAAGTTACGGCTTATGTGGAAACTGGAGAACCAATGTAAGTAATCCTTTATCCTTATATAAATAATCAAAAAGCTAATATTGAAATAAATTATAGGGGAAAAGCGGGAGGGTATGGGATACAAGGAATTGCAAGCACATTCGTCACGCGAATCGAGGGAGATTTCAATAACGTTATCGGATTACCACTTTGTAGATTAGTTTTAACACTCAAGAAAATTGTTACTGAATAAAAATTTCTTTAAAAGCAAATCACTTGTGTTACAACTCCATTGGACAATGAAAATTTGAAAATTATTAAATCCTTTATAAAGCTGACACTGGTTGAAATAAAAATTGAAAATAAACCATCTACCATTATCATTATATGGTGAATTACAGACAAAATGACCGTGTATTACGCTGTTAAAACGACGAAGGAAGCTAAAAGATAAGTAGATAGGGGCCTTATTATATCAATAAAGAAAAGTAGATGGATCACGCTAAAGTAAATTGTCTCTTTATCCTAAATAAATATGAAACTTTCATTCGTTGTGTTGATTTCTCCAATAATAATTTCTCACCAAATCCACCTTGCTGCAATTCAATTGTTCTGATTCATTTATTATTTGTAATATTCCCTTAATTAAAATAAGGAATTGTTGCTAAACACATATTCATGGTTCATTTCTCATTACTTTCGACTTTATTCTAACTGCATTGTGTATTAAATACAATGATGCAGTTTATTTACATACTTATATCTGTGGTATGAGAAAAGTCGATTTATACCTCATTTCCTTCAGGTATCTAAAATCTAAATATTGCAATTTCCTTTAATCTAGGATATTACGCCTGACAAATTTGTGTTATAAGTTGCATTAGCATGGACATGAAAATTTATTAGGTTTTTGAATCTTTTTTTGAAAAAGCTCATGCGGCCAAAAACTATGTTGTGTTTGTGTTACATTTACGATGATTAAGGTATTAAGGATGAAAGCAACACACTTATAGGTTTACGTTATATATATATGAAACACACCCTCAAAATGAGGGTAACTATAAAAAACTATCGTTTTTTTGTTATTTATTTCTGAGCCCTTTTTTATCGGTATTGACAGCAATGACGAAATTGTCTTGGGGAGTGGGGACAATAATTCCTCAATTATACAGTGTGTATATAAAGTATGGAATAAATTCAATATAAAGTAAATGAAATGTGAAGGCGTTTTCGAAAAAACACATGGACACCTCGATTTTGTTTTTTTGCTTCAAATTTTTTCAATTTTTTTTTATATTACAAGGTGTTTCAAGAACAGCTATCTGTTTATTATACCATTTCTGGATTCTGTAGAAAATTCTAGACATATTTCATGCACAATATCCTATACCTATTTTCAACTGTTTCGGAAATTTGAAGGTTGAAAATAAATTTTTATTTTGAACCGTATGTAATTTTCACATTCTTACTGGTTTGAAGGTTCTAAAATGTCACTTTACTTTTGTTTACTTTAAAGCAGGCCGAAAGTGACTGTTCTCCAGTCACTTTCGGCCTGGAGAACTCTTTCGGCCGATAAATTATTCTTTCACACCCAAACACAAATCCAGGTGCAATGTTTGTATTTCAAATAGTTGCCAGCTCCCCGGCGTCAAAAACATGCAAGAGTTTTCGCAAGGCGGATATTTTCAAAATAGGTCGTACTTTAGTGTTAGAATGCTAGTGTACAGTCAGCACTCACAAAATTTATAGAAATTTTGCACATTATCTGTTTGAAGGTCACAGATAACGTATGTAAATGGTCAGACGTCTAGTTCGTTGCAAAAAGGGGGTCAGACGTCCTCAAAGTTTTCATTTTATGGCATTTTCTTCGGTGTCCTGTCAAAATATATTTTTGCAGGTATTTGACAAATATATTTGAAGAAAATGCCATAAAATAAAAACTTTGAGGACGTCTGACCCCCTTTTTGCAACGAACTAGACGTCTGACGATTTACATACGTTATCTGTGACATTCAAACAGATAATGTGCAAAATTTCTATAAATTTTGAGCTTTGAGAAAACAGTTTAGATGCTTCTTAAAATTACAACTTTGCCCGCGTCCCAGAGCCAGCTGTCCCGGAACTGTGAGTGCTGACTGTACACTAGCATTCTAGCACTAAAGTACGACCTATTTTGAAAATATCCGCCTTGCGAAAACTCTTGCATGTTTTTGGCGCCACCTCCTGGACTAAAAGTAGATGTCACATGTGTTTATATTGTTGAAATTTCACAAGATGTCAATTTCGGTGTTTGACTGTCAGTCGAAATTCCATTTTTGTCATATTTTTACCTTATTTTTTTCAATAATTAATGGTTCAAAATAAAATAGTATACATAATTCGGTGGAAAGTTTTCACATTATTGTCTCGAGAATTGGTTGACCTCGGCGCTTCGCACCTCTGTCAACCATAGTATCTCTCGACAATAATGAAACACTTTCCACCTCCACATTTATTATACTATTTTTTGCAACCTTTACATTTACAGCCTGTAAAACGTAAACGATAATTTTACTGCAAAACCGATTTTACATTCTCAGCTTTAGCAAATTTTTTCCATAAAATCCATGTGTCGTAAACCAATAAACTCTTCATTAATAATACGATGCTCACTATACATTTATTTACAGTAAATTCCATCATCTGTTTAGTTTAGCTCCATGTTTTAATGATAGGTACTTTATAACTTTATTACTTATTTAAGGCTTGGAATTATTATACAGCTTCTTTCTATGATTTCTATTGCAAGAACCCCAATTATTATCCTTGCCGCCAAGGCGCCAGAGACTGTAGAGTAGACCCTTCTTTTATTTTATTGTCTAGACGGCCAGAATTTCCTTGTACCTTTAGAATTTTAGTGTTTATGATTTTATTTCACAAACTTTCCAAAATAAACTTTACATCTGTATAGAATTAGGTACCTTTATATTTTATTACTTGAAGACGACGCCCTCCTTAAGGACATCTCATGAAGCCGTTTTCTTGGGAGAAGAAAGACTGAAGACAAGACACTCTGAATCCGGGCTTCAAACCGAAAACACGAAGTTATTTTAAATTAGTCAAAGCTTCCCTCTTGCCAAGCTATTTAATTTAATTTTACTTTTAATAAACGAAACCTTTTTTTTTAAACGAAAGTTAGAGTTTCAATTGCCGAGTCGGGACGATTATAACATTGGTGGCAGCGGTGCAATTCGAGGTGTTACTCGAAGGAGCGCGGAGACGCAGCGAGTGCATACAAAAAATATCGCGGCAGTTTTGTGAGTACCAAGGAGCGCGGAGACGCAGGGTTTCCACAAGCAAGTCCAGGAAATTGGAGACATTTGAAGGTGCGCCCAGACGCAGCAGATTCATCCAAGCAGTGAGCAGGAAATTGAGAGGCGCGCGGAGACGCAATCAGCTACCTGTTGATCATCGGAAACTTCACGAAAATTCCTGCGCAACATGTGTGGGTAAGTCTTTTGTTTTCTGATGGTTTTCGCTGCACATTTCCTTCGCTTTATTTTTTATAGATTTTAAGTTAATTGTTGATTAGGTACGTACATATATTATTTTAAGAATAACTGCAAATAACCAAAATTATTAAAAAAAAGAAAAAAAAAACAAATATTTTTAAATTATTATAAATTGAATTAATTTAAAAAAAATAAATAATAATTACTTAAAATGGCTGAGGGAAAAACTGCTTTCGATGTCCTAAATTTTATCAATCCTTATGATGGATGTGGTGATTCTAATTCATTACAATTCTTTATAAAAAATTGCGATGCAATGATGGCAATTGTTAGAGAAGATGAGAAAATTATGCTTGCAACTCTGATTTTTGGAACTAAATTAACCGGTAAAGCCCAGGAAGTAACTCAATATAAAACATTTCAAAATTGGGATGCAATAAAAGAATTTTTGATCGAACAATTCACTGATAAACGACCGCCGACACATTTTCTTATGCAAATAATGAACATAAAACAAAATTATAGAGAAAAAATTAAAAATTATGGGGATAGATTAAAATATTTATACAACAAATATAAAGAAACATGCCATGTTAATTATCCGGATAATGAAGCGAAAATTTTAATAGATAACTTAGATTCAATTATAGTCAGCACATTTAGGAAAGGGTTAATCGATGAGAAAATTCAGATTCGTGTAATAGCTGAAAGTACTTACGATTTAGACAAAGTCATTTCAATAGCTGTCGAAATGGAATTAGAAAGTACTACAGAAAAAATTTGATTTTCACAAGGAATAAACCAAATAGGATATTTAGGGCAGAATAGGAATTTTAATGATAGAAATTCGCAAAACAGTACCTTGTTTTGCATGTTTTGCAATATGCGAGAATCTGATACCCCAAAAATAGAGACGTGACAGCGACGCAAAAAGGATTTGTGCAAAACCATAGTTGATCCCTTGGTTTTATTATTTAGGTTGTATGATTCACTGTTTATGACCCGACCCATTGTTACTTCGGTAACATTGAAAGGGCTCTTCAAAAAAGAGTTAGGTTTTAGACTAGGTAGTTTTAGTCATTTTCGACAGGGACTTGCATTTTGTACAGCATGTTGAACGCATCGTCGTCCTGATATCTTTGTGAATTTGAAATAAACTATTTTTATTGTTGAAAGTCTAGCGTTTTCTTACATCAGAAGTGGGATAAATTCACTCACAAGTTTACTAGTGCCGAAAATTAAATTGCCAAGCGCGAGTTTTGTGATTATGGAGCAATTAGCGAAAGTGCTAGCCGCGACGCTCTAGAAAATAAAAGAAGTTTTTCCAAATTCGGATCCTGTGTTGGCGACCGAAATTCCTAGTGACATCTTTATGAAGCAAGCAAGCGAAGTGCCGCCAGTTTTTCTGGAGGAGGCCAAGGGATGGTTTTCTATGTAAAAGCCTGTGGAAAAATCATGGGGTGCGAGTTTTCCAGCCTTGTTCTACTAGACGGAATTGAAAAGTAAAGCTTTTCAAGTCACTATACCATTAAACCGAAATCCTTCTGTGAGTAGGTATGCTTGAAAAAAAATTATGTTTTTCCATTTATTTATTTCGATCCTTTGATTGACAGAATATTAGAAATTGTTTTTAGAATTCGCTAATATTCACGTAAAAACTACAGCGTTCAGTAGTAATTAGGAACATTGGTTCACTCAGTGATTTATTTAATGATATTAGAATTGAGAAATGTCTGAGTCAAAAAAAAGAACACAAAATTTCCTTGATTTTATGGGGGAATTTCGAAAAGAGTAATTTTCAAATTTTATTATTTTGTTAGATGCCAACTTATTGTAAATTAAAATTAACTTTTTGATAGAGACTTGAGCAAATTTTGAACTACTTTAGAAACTTCTGGAAAAAAATAAGATGTCATTTAGACTCAGTTTTATTAACGTTAAAAGGCATGGGGAATGGTTTAGTCTGGAAATTAA